AGGTGGATATGGTCATGTTTCATTCTATATATGTATGAGATTCTCAGAGAATAAAAATTATAATGAAAATAGAACCCATCTTAAATACAAATTCAGTCCCTGTCACCTCTCACAGAATCTCTGCTTTCTCTATTTGTTTTCTCACACTCTGTTCCTGTAAGCTTCATGAAGAGTCAGGAGACTTGTGTGGGGTGGAGTGGGGGTTTAATTGTGTCTTGGCAAAGGCTCATAGGCCATACTATGCCTAATTACTGAACTTCAGTTTTTACATCCTCTCTCTTCATCCATGATTACCTTATTTCATCATCTGAATTTTTAAAAGATGTCCCTCAGTTATGTCATAACATGTTTATGATTATCTTATTTCTTCAGATAGAGACAAAATAATGTGGTCTAGTAAGGCAGGCTTCAACTATGAATGAGTATACATAGCATTTATGATTTTCTCCAATTGACCAAAAGACATGGAAATACTTCAGTAACTGCCAAAGACCTAAAGTGGGGTTGCAAAGGATCAGCCTGTACCCATGCTCTGCCTTTGATTTGCAAACCTTTCCGCCAGGTTTATGTTTTTTAAAAAAATGTTTTTTGAAGCTGGAGAATTAAAAACTCCCAAATGCAGAGTGCATGAAATGCCATTAAAGCTAGCATAAAACTTCTTGAATCTGTCACATAAAAAAAAAGTCATGTATCCAGCACGAAGATGGAATATCAGTTGACAGGAGTCTATGGGGCTGGCACTCATTCTGAGAGACACATGCATCTAAAATCCCAATAGCCCCTGAGCCTTTGGAAGTCAAACAATATTAGCAAAATCAGGAAGGTGAAAAATCTTCCTGGTGTTTGGGATGACTCCCACATATGAATTACTTATTACAGTATTTCTAGAACACTGAAATAGTATTTAAACATCATCCCTATCCATAGAAAATGAAGCTATAAACCCACCAAGTTCTAGAAAGAATATTTGAAAAGACCAAGAAGATAAAAGGGGAGCCCCAGAGGTCATTCCTGTCTGTTGCCACACCCTTGCCTTCCTTAGCTGAAAGGATGAGTGTGGAACTTGAGTTCATCTGAATTCCTCAGTTCTGTCATCAGAGCTGTGACACATTCTAATTTTCTGATTCATCTGTGATGAATAAGCACTCCCTTTTCTAGTCACCGTCCTCAAAGTAACCAATTTTGTGAGTTATGATGACTTATTTTTTTCATTTCATTGCTGAATTCTTATTGTTCCCTCTTAGCAAAGTTGGTCTTACTCTTAGTCCCCCAGTGTTAACCCCATATGCAGAAAAGCCCACATAGCCAGTAACATTGCCTGAGCTTTGAGCTAGTTCAGAGTAAAAAACTGACAACCAGACTTCTGTTTTTAACCCAGCCAGATACCTCAGCTGGCAAGAAGCTCAGCTTCCTCACCATAAAATGGGTATAATAATAGCTTTCCCTTACCGCTGTGAAATATTTAGAATGCAAATCAAGCCAGACCTATCTCCTTCCAAAGTGAAGCATAAACTAGCCTGCATAATCCTGAATGAGTCCAGATTTCAAGGGAAAGTATCAAGTGAGAAACACTAAAGGTGGTATAATTTAGTGGTTAAAGTGTGTGGACTTTGGAATGGTGCAGACTTACTCAGAGGCCAGCAGCTGTGTGATTTGGGGTAAGTTTCCTAATTTCTGAAATCTCCTCTTTCTTTGATTAAGTGCAGGGTAACAGTATTTTTTCCTTATAGTGTGGGTTCAGTGATTCACTCTACCAGTGCTTCTTGCACTTGCGCTCAGGCAGGCCTCACGTGAGAGTGGCCCAGCGTTCAGGATGCCTAATGGGACACTGCCCTGTGTGCTGCAGACAGGACACTTTAAGGTCGTCTCAGGTATTCCCCCAAAATACACACAGATATTTTTCTTTTCACTCCTCAGTATATTCTTGCTTACTTTAATAAAGTAGAAGTAATGCAAGGCCAAGAAGAACATCTGTTTTGTTTCTTCTAAAACATCCAAGAAAAAGTCAATGGGGAAATTGATACATATGCAAACAACAGTCTAAGTTATTTACCCACAAGAAAAATCAGCCATCAAGGAAGACTGCCATGTCTTAGTATCGGTGGTTCTGTGTACCCCCATGCTTGCTCCCTGCACATCCCTGGGTTGTCACATATACAAACTAGAGAAGCCTTTCTTTACCAGATGCCCAGAAGCACAGCAGGTACTCAGAGCACAGAAACTCTTTCCATCACTGCCATTTCTCCACTCCATACTCCTCTACCCCATTGCAGTAATGGTGCTATAGATATTTTTAAAGAAATTGCATAATGATCAAAGTAACTTATATACATCATAGAAATATTACAATGAAGTACAATTAATATATGCTAATAATAGTGAATGAGGAAAATATTATAATGGTCCAGACAGATAGAAGTCTAGGGAACCTTAAAGGAACTTGAATGTCTCTAGTCACACATCTTTACCTACTTACAGAGCTCGATTTAAAAATTTTTCTTTACTACCAGATTCAGATTATGCTTGTTTTAAACTTTCTGAAGGTGATTTTCTTTCCTTCTTTACCCCACCCTCACCAAGCCATAGATAAGCAGCCCACAGGACTCACACATGGGTTTCTTTGGGACCAAACACTCCTTGAAACTTGTTTTTGAGAATTCTTGGGAAAGGATTCTCCTAGGAACCTGCATCATCTCTAAATGTTGAAAACCACTGCCCTAGAACATTATGCAAATTGAAGCTAGGTGAACTAGTCTTTTCAGTTACAATTAAATTACAATTAGGTCCTTGGAGATTGACACTTTGGCATCACTAAACTAAGATTAGACATCGATACACATCACTCTTCCTCTTTGTGAGCACACCCACTGCTATGTTTTAATGTCCTGAATTATTTGGCCTTTACAGTCTTATATCCTTTGCTACATATTTGTGTGTTGAACCTGGAATGTTCAATACAAATGTTTTAAATCCTATGCAAAACTATTCTGCTTAATTCTTTGCATTTCATATAAAAACAACTTACAGACATATAAGGTGAATATCACTCAGGTGGAAAGGGCATGTATCAATACATAACAGTTTCAACTGAGCAAAAGTAAATCTATGTAGATTAATACATATTGTAAAATCGCCTAGCAGATTGTAATTCAATCAAGAAGGAGGGACCTTTTGACAGTTATGGACATTTATGAATTTTTCATGAACTATGAAATTAAATTTTTAACCTTAATATTAAATTTGGGATTGCTTTTATTGTCTTGTTTTAATATATCAGTACAAACTTATATCCCCAAATTTTGCAATCTAACTTTGTTTTCTCTTAAACTGTAACACACACTGTAATTTTTCTCTCCATCTTAGATTCCTGTCATCGGCAGCCTGTGTATAATTTGACATCAGGGGAGATAGTTTATTAGTCTTCACATGTGTTAGTCAATCTAACTTTCCATCACCAAAATTTAATTTTAACTAATTTTGTGAATAACTGTTCCTTGGAGTTCATAAAGAAAATTTACCTCCTCAGATATAAGAAGGAAGTACCTGATACATTTTTCAAAGTTCATAATCCATTTTTGAGAGTTATTTGGTGTATAACTTACAATAGATAAGTGGTAATTCGGCACATTTTATAGAAAAATCACTCCCCTTTCGCCCAAAGATTAAGAAAGAAACCATGCTCAAAAATGGGGGGGGGCGTTAAAGAAGAGGGAGAGAGGAGGGGGTAAAATGACAAAAATATGTACCAGGCAGTGGTTTAGTGTCTTGGCTTGCAGAGAAGACATGAGTATTCAAAACTATAATCTTTAAACACTAGCCCCTTTTTATTTTGTATTTCCAATTTGTAAATACTTTTAATAATTCATACATAATCTAATTATCTTTCCTACAACTTTTGTTAACTCTATCAATTTTGTGAGAAGATTTTAAAGCATGGGAGACCCTAGGTGTCTCTTGCACTGCTGTGCACGGTAATCTGGGCTGCAGGTTTTCTTCTTGACTCTTCCTGTCCTACAGAAGGACCGCCACAATTCACAGCTGCGTGTAAACAGGCAGATTTCACACTGACCACACAGGAAAACGTTTCTTGAGTGCAGTCTCTACCATGGTGCATTTGTTCAGAAAACCTGGAAAGTGAAGGCTCTTGAATTTAGTTTTCTGCTTTGGCCGTTTTCAGGGCAATCAGGTCCTTCAAGTTGATATCCTTTAATAAAGTAATTTTGATACTTTTGGAGGCTTTATGTGAAGTGGTTAAGAACATCCTGTCATGATGTTTGGCAGTGCATATCCAATATGATCTGGGGGTCTAGTGGAAGGACTTCTGTTGTCTTAATTTCTAGAAGAGAACCTAATCAACTATAGTGGCACTCCAGTAGTTGTGGGCTATTTGTTACGTAGTTTGAGAACTATGCGAAAGATTTATTAGGCTTTTAAACATAGAGTGTAAAACTATCATGGCGAACTTTCCCCAAACCTGAAAAGTGTCATCATTATAGCCATGTTGGGAGTGCAGAAGTTTGCATTCCAATCACTATGTCACAATATCTGCATCAACAATAGACCTCTATGCAACACAGAAGTGTTCCATGTGAGGTTCAGTAAGGTCACTTAAAGCCACATGTAGCCACTGAGCACTTGGAACGTGACTAGTGTGACTAAGGATCTCAGTATTTAGGTTTTCGTTAACGTTAAAGAATTTAAGTAGACAAATATGGCTAGTAACTACTGCAGTGAGCAGGATTGCTCCTATAGAAAAGCTGTCTGTTGGAGATCTGATGCAATCAACAGGAAAGGTCTTGTCACTTTCTATACTAGGATATACTGGCATCGGTCATAGCAAGGAGGCTACAGCTCTGGAAAATTTCTGAAGCTGGATATTAATAATTTTGTGTCTACAGGTGACAAAACTTGGGAGCAATGAGTCCCATCAATCTCTCAAGATTTTGTGTTCCTCGCGTTCAGTTTTGTGTTTAATTCCTTGTCTTTTCTTTCATTTTCAGTTCCTTGACTACCAGTCTGTTGCCTGCTCCTACTCTTCATGTAAGTAAAAGTGGCTTCTTTACCTTTAATGAAAGTGTTGGATTTGTGACTCTCTGGTCTTTGGTGTCATATTTCCTGGTTGGCTTCACTGTGGTGTCCAGCATCCATTTAGTATGCTTTAGTGTTTTTCCTACTTGGAGCCAATGCTGTTAGTGTACTGGTGAGTTGTCCTCTGTGAGGGAGCCCAACAGCCCAGCCTTTGCCTTCTGAAAAGACTGCCCTTTCCCTCTCTGCAGCTGCTATTTGTAAAAGTCGCTGCAATTCTGACCTGAAGCTTACAGTCCACATCCAGATCTCAGCAACAGTTGGGCTTTGCTCCACTGTCAATCAATGGGCAATTATTTATTCTCCAGTTGTTCACTCATCCCTAGGTCCAACCATTTTTAATTTTAACTTCTAGTTCAGAGCTTTGATTTATTGACAAAATTTATAATATCCTTTAACCAAGAAGTACAAGACTGAAAAGTAAATAGCCTGAAAATTTGTGCAAAATTTTAAAGTCTAGGAAGAAAAATAAAAGAAATCCAGGATTCACATGTGCCAGCAAGTTTATAGAATGTACCATTTCTTTCCAGAAAAGATGGGAAATTTGGGGGGGGAACGGGGAAAAACTTGATTTTTAAATGAAAAAGAGAACATTTATTATTGAAAGATCAAACTGGGTCACACTGAGCAGATTTGGATAAATATTATTTGAACTGATTGGAAGAGGTTTTGGGGCAATGAAATCAAATAATCAAGTCACTACCTGAGGCATCACCTAAGAAACTACAGAGAAAGGCAGTCAGCTCATATCCTAAGTAACCATGGGTGTCCCTGTAGCTGCATTTCCCGTTATTTCTTCACATTATGTCACCGACTCTTCACTCTTGGTATGTTGTAGTGACCAAAAGAGGTCTCTGATTCTGCTCATGTATGGCTTCTACTACCATTCCTAGAAAATTGTGGTGAACATATGTAAGGTAGCAGGATTCACCAAAAGATGCTGAGGTTGGGTGTGACATTTTATGTGATGCAGAGGAGGTTGATTTATTAGACTTCTCAAAGACTGGTGCTGTGTTAGACATCAGGGGAAGTCCTACTTCCCCTTAAATCTTCTTATTCCCAGTCTCAGTGATGATAGAGTGGATTCGCTGATGCTTTGGAGATGTCAATGTGTGTGCTCATGGTTACCACTGTGTGTCTACCTATCCTTCCCCTCCCTTGTTATATAGCACTGCATATTTCTAGTCCTCTGACTGGCAAATCTTTTTGTAACAGTTCTTTTGTGTAAAAACAATTCACATAATAGCTCAGTGTTAGACAAGGCATTAATCCTCACATCACCAGGATGAGTCAGCATGATGTACTCCTGCCCACCTAGCTCAGCTATCATGACATCAGTACTTTAGGGCAAGCATCAGACACAAAGTGTATAGGAGACCTGCATCACCTAGTAGAAATAAAGGGAGAGACCTATAATTGAAAGGCTGTGTCTGTCTCGTAGGAAAATGTGAAAGTAACTCTGTGCTACATCACTAATCCACCACAGAGCAGATTCAAGTGGTTCCTCCTCTTTTTTTATTTATTTAATCTTTAAAGCAGAAGTAACCCTGAGAGAAAAACCTGTAACAAGCTAATAGTCCATTCATGTGCCCATGACCTTGTCCCACCCCAGACCAGGCTTCATGCTTGCTTGACTTGTTAGAAATCCTCAAGTTGCCTTCATGCCAGCAGGATGACAGGGCCAGTAACAGTCCTGTGTCCTCAAGTGCCCCCACAGACACAGCTGATGGCTCCAGGGGTGGTGCCCTAGAGGCCCATAAAAAGCAAAGGGAAAGTTCCTTGGGAACAAACGAGAACATTGCCCCCAATGCCTCTCATCTCAAGTGGCTCTTTGATCACCTCCCTTGGACAGGTGCAAAATTCAGCCCATCTGACCTTCTGTCCTTGGCATTGCATCCAGTGTCCCAATCTGGAATTGACCAGATTTAAATAGGAGTTGAATAGATGCCACACTTTCCTGCAAGAGTTTTCTGTCCTGTTATTTTTTAGCAGAAACAGAAAGAAAAACCCCACAACCTGCCATGCTGCCTTGAAGTAGATGAGAAAGGCGGAGTATGTTTTGGAAGCCTGGTTCTTGTAAGCTAGGCTTCTCTTCAGATGCAGACACATTCTCAGGACAATACCTTACAGTATTAAAAGTTAATCACTGGAAGGGTGATCATGCCTTTGCCTACTGACATTCTCTATTAAAAAGAGATGCTCTGTTGCAGCCTCCATCCTTCCCTCTTACTCTCACCCCAGCTAGTCACCAGTCACTGTGGTAACCATCAGGAAATGCCTTACTCCTGGGTATTTTCCACCTTCATTAGATCTCTTGGAGTCTCCTACTATGCTCCTAAGAGCTACTGCTTGGCATGGTTTTGATTAATTATGCATAGTTCTTTGTTTAGTTTTCAGTCAACAAACATTTATAGAAAGCTAGTAACCGCGCTCAGATCTGGGAACTCCAAGATAAATGAGAAATGCCACCTTTCATTAAGAATGGCACAGTCTGGGGCTAGCGGTATAGCTCACACTAGAGCACTTTTGGTAGAGCTCAGTGAAGTGGAACAGTAGCACAGCCTGGGCTTGACCCAACAATGCAAAGAGAGAAAGGAAAAAGCCCTCACAATCAACTGGGGAAGGTGACCAAGTGGCTAAAGACTGTTGTGTGACAGGCGGTGGAAGGCAGGGATCTACAGCACCCACCCGTATAGGAGGTTCAAGCTGACTCACGAGGTGAAAGTAGTAAGTAGGGGTTTCCCAAGTGAGCACAGGACAAGAGCAAAGAAAAGTGCTCATTGTTGGGGAAATAACAGAATATTTAAAAGTGAGGAGGGGTGAAGTAACCACTAGATCTAGGTACCCATTACTCTGCTGTGCTAGAGCATGGCGAACTGGCAAGCAGGCAGGAGTCAGGGCAAAGGATGCCAAGCAGAGGAGTTTGGACTTGATCTTACAGCCTTGTTTTTCTTTTTAAATTAAGGAAATTACACAAGACCTGACCTATGTAGTGAATAGAGTGGAGAAATTATATAGGAGTATTAATAGTTGTATAATTCCAGCATATCTTTGCCCACTGCATAATCCTTGCCTTTCTAAGAGAAAGGCTGATGGGATACTGTGCCACATTTAAAGGCAAACCCATCCTTATGGGGCTTCACTGAAGACTTCAGTTTGTAGCTGACCTCTATCTGAGCTGCTGCTTACTGGTCTTGGGATGTAGAAGGGTCTTCTGCCCACAGTGAACATGAGATAGGAGGAAAGAGAATATAAAAAAGACAAAAGCATCCCTTAATAATGGCTCTCTAAAGTCAATCAATCCCCAATTTCCTGTCATTTTTCCATTGCTGCCTTTTTCTAAGCAAAATTTCCAACCCATTGAACTGAATTGCAACTTATGCACAGCCGGGTGTTCAAACAATTCAGTATATTCATTCCTTTTCTCTGAATTAGAGTTCACCATAAGTGTGCTTTTCTCTTGTTCACTTTGGGCTGCCAGGACAATTTAAAGGAGAATTTCAGCAGCTTGTGTCTCACGTACCATGTTCTCTTTGCAAACTGGAGTATATGTGTGGGCGTGTTTAAGTTGTCTGTATGTTGCTTTCTAGAAAGGTTGGAGAAGATGAACAAGATGAGGAGTAGGGACCTATTAAAAGCTCAGATCCCCAGTGACCTGAGTGCAGAACGTAGGCTGGTGATCAGATGGTCAATTATGTGTTTGTCAAAACACAGTGGGCTGCATTCCAGACTGCCAGCTTTGGAGGCCCAGCTTCTGCCAACCAAATGTCATCTGGGAACATGCAACACTGGGCACTGTGAAGGAGTTTGAAATAGACCATGCCACAGCCAACCTACTGCCAGTCTTATAGCACCAATATGGCATGCACAGCCGGGCCCCATGTTTCAGAGCTCAGGAATTCACTGTACTCAATTCAAGGGGTCAGATGGGTTCATGTTTTCAAAGCCTATGTTCTCTGCTTTGAACACTGTGACTTGTTCCTCAGCAATTTCCAAGGGATTTTTCCAATCATATCTCTGTGGAAACCACTCTTTTTGTGATTGTTATGAGAGCCTTGTAAAATGTCCCAGAGAAGGGGGTGAGGGGAGGGAACAAACCTGCTCTGACAATGACTGTGACTCCTATAAGGGATTCCAACTCTAAGGAAATTACATTAAAGGTGCATAGCTTTTAAAATATCAGGAACCACCTTGGCAACTTATAAAAAGCAGAAGGGCTTTGCCTATTTTATAAAGTGATTTGCATATACCTGCATAAATAATGTCCCCACCTGTACTTTTATGCATTTAGGTTGAATAAATTAAATTCAGTGATCTTTAAAATATTCTGTGTCTTTCATTGCTCAGACACCATTTTCAAGACCCTTCCTCTTCATTCCTCCTTGTGGTTATAGTGGCTATTTGTTTTTGAGTCTTTTGACTAATTCAGAGAACTAAAGTACACTGCAGACCAGTCCACCACAACCAGGAACATTATCCCCTTCTGCTTGAATTCCTCTTTTCCTTTCTACCATTGGACAAAGAGTTCTGTTTTTCACAAGAGAAAATGGAGGAGTATATTGTTAATGTGAAAGCATAGCCCAAGAAAGGATTAATATACAGCCCAGAAATATTAGCCTTATATTATGTTCTATTAGCCTTTTCTTTCCTTTCTTACCTCCTTCCTTCTCTCTCTTGCTCCCATGTTGTTTTTCTCTGTCTCCTAATAAGGTTATTATGTAGCACGGGGTTTACAGACCTGTGTTACCATAATTGGATTAATCTTGGCCTTCTTTGACCATGGCCAGTGCCCCTTCAGAAACCACCTGTCTACTAACTCCTAGAAGTTATAACGTAGGATTTCACATTGAAGCTTGCTCAGTATACCAGCCCTAACCACATTCATCCTACAAGATTTAGACATTTGCCATGTTTTTTGAAGAATCATGTTTAACAGAGTTATAATATATCATTGT